TGACCGTTCTTTATCCACCCCTTCGAAGGGAAAACGGCGTTAAGGCCAGATAAACACGACGACGACTACGTAGAACACCGGTGATTCCGATGCAAGCGTAAGCGACGAACCCAACTCCCTCCTCATTCACGTTCACGTTCTCTCCGTAGAAAGAAGAGAACAAAAGCATAATAAAAGCCATCGAGGAGAGCAAAAAGAAAAAAATAAAAGATGCAAAACTGGAGCGACGATAAAAACACAAAAATTAGGTATGGAAAGAGAGAGAGAGAGAGAGAGAGAGCCGAAACGATGGATGTTGGTGGCTAATTGCGGGCGATGATGCATAATGCATAATATACTCGCAAAATGATGCACCACTCTCTTCAGAATACGCAAAACAAAAGAAAAATAACATAATAATTATACGCGGAATATCTCATTATGCAAACGGAATAATACGTCCGAACGCGTTATTGGCAGATACATTAAAAATGCATTAGGCTAATACTCTGGATACTCGGACTATGCCTAATGGATGGACGGACGTAACAACCAACCTTTTTTTTACGTTTTACCAATTGACTTCATCACAATTCGATCGCCAAGTATTTGCAATTTTCGAATTTTATACCATCTCTCTCATCTCTCGTCATCTTAATTTTAATTGACGCGCACGCACATCTCGATCTTGATATTGCGGCGAGCGCTCATTACGATTCACTTAGACCTCACTGAAATCGACGCACAACTCTCTTCTCATTCAATTAATATTCACCCCACCTCTCTATATATTATATCAATTTCGCATACGGTCAAGCAATTCCTGAAGGGAATTAACATTTCTTTGCGCTCAATCCACTCTACCGCAAAGATTCTTTCATCCCTGCTTTCGTTTCACCAACAAATTTAATCAATTAAAGTATCTATTGCACTCTACTGGATTTAAGTAAATTCACATGTCCGCAGAAGAATCGTTAATCAATTAAAAGAAATTATTAAATAATATCAACAAACTCAATTGGATAAGTTTTCTAATTGATACGATGAACTTTATTGTTTCTTCACAAGAAGTGTACGTTAATGTGATTGAGGATTATCGGAGGGAAACGAACAAAATAAAAAAGAGCAACGGCGGCAATCCAATTAATTGATTGACCTATTCGTAATGGGATTTTTATTGCCGAGCGGAGATTTTCAAAAAGGGAGAGCTGTTAATTTAAAGTTAATCAAATAAATTGGAATATCGATTGGCTTTAATTGAAGACACACGAAGATCTTTTCGTTATTAGATCGGATCTTTCGGAAAACTTAATGCATCCTCTTAATTTGGACTTAATGCAAATTTGTAATCTAAACTACGTTTCACTTATCTCGGATTCTTGATGCACATGTTCATCTCTGATCATGTATTTCCAATTCAACGGGACAAGTCTTTCAATTGTTTCAAAATCAATTAAGATGTCGATCGTCGTTGTTCTCGAGAAATCGGAATACATTAATTCTCCGGCCAACTCAAATGTAGTCTAAACCGAGCAAACAGGTTGTTAATCATATCAATTAATTAAAATCAAAATCGTTCTGGGTCGTTCTCGTGGTGGTCGCTTTTTATCGGATGCGATCTACTACTACGACTGTTGTTGGACCTTCGAAAGAAGAGAACGATTGGAACGTCCGAACGAAACGATTGCGAAAATGAGAAATCAAAATGTTTTCATTAACCAACTGAGATTTTCCAAAACGATTACATACGCACGCACATTGTCATAACAATTAATTAAAGTCAAGATACATATGCAATAGTACACCATTCTTTTCATGTGATTTATACAAATCACAGTATAAATTCTTTGGTTTGTACAAACTCTAGCAAGTGACAAATTTCGACATAGAAATTAGTCTGAATTTAAAAAGTAATCAATAAAATGTGTGTAACTGCAAATGAAAATTTCAATTCTTCTCAAATTAATTTCAAAATTTGCAAATCACATTTGACAGCATTCTCGTATTTTGTGTTTGTTAAGAAAATGGTCAATTACCAAAAGAATGTTAACTATGGAAATTAATCTGAAATGTTTAGAGAATAATATGAGCATATGCATATGTGTGTGTGTAGGTGCATTCGTCAATAAATATATGACTGCAGCTGCATCGCTTAGTTTACAAGTTAAGCACAAAATTTAGTAAAAATATTGTCTTAAGCGCGGTTCCCGAGAGATACCTGAATATGGAAATGAATCTTCGAAACAATAAACTGTCAGATATATTTGATGGTTGAGAGGGATATTAGAGGGAGACTAATAATCATGCAAATTACAACGAAATCTTGTAATTTTAGATATTCATGAATGCCTGCTAAGAAGCTAAATAAATAAGATAGAGTGTTCTTTCGTTCGAGTTTTAATGGAGAGCGAAATATTGTTTGATTCAAAAATCAAATCATTCGAGATTTAGATTGAGAGAAAGATATTGGATATAAAGAAATAACAACGTGTTAATTTGAGTGAGACTCTCTGATTGAAGCGAATCGGACAGGCATACGATTAATTATTGCCGAGAGTTCGGGTATTTCCTGATTCCTCGAGTGTCTTTGGTTCATAATTTTTTTCTCTTTTCTCTCTCTCGCTCTCTATCTTTTGGTAACAAATGGTCTAATCCGCGGTTAGCAGCATCTACACTAATCTCCATTCGCGGCTATTAAACTCGTCGAACCGAAAGCCGAATATCTATTTTTCTCTTTTATGTTTCTCTGTATCTTCTGCTCGATCGGCGCTAATGCCAGTAATCAGAGAAGTGATTGACACTGAAACGGCGGCAATTAGAAGAGAGAACCACCCGCTTTTCAATTATAAAATGTTCTGCATAGTTTGTAATTAGTCCCTTACTCTTATTTTTTTTTTGTAGTTTTTGTTGTTGAAGGGGGCCTAGGAATTTCGTGGCCCTGCGGCCCGCAGCCACTAAAAAGATCCGGATAATTGCCAACCAGTCAGTCCCGACATCCTTCCATCCTTTTACCTTTCTTTCTTTCTTTCTCTTTGCCGACACACACACACACCATCTTCTTCCCCCCTTTCATTTTCTTTTTACCTCCTCATTTCGACAACAAAAACATCTCATCATCCGCCGCATAATAATCACAACAACGTAATAATCGTCGACCTAAATTTCGCAAAACGGCCTCTCTGAGAATGCTGCAGACGCGTGCATCAGCAAACTTTTCATCCGTTTCTATCTGACCAATTAACAAAGAAATCCTCAAATTTATGTAAATCTCGAATCACCCACTCAATAATCGGAAACGGTCAAATATTTCATCCACACAATGGTCATAGTCAAATCGGAATTGTCCAGATTGTTGTTGGGGTTGACTTAAGAGCTGTTGGTATTTTCTCACCACCATCGCCACCGTTGCCGTTGCCACCGCCACCGCTTCCCACGTTCTTCTTCCCGCCTCCGGACAATGGAACTCAAAAATCCACCCCACCGTGAGGAGGAGATGGATAATAATGATAGTAATGATTCCGGAAGAACGGAAGGAACGGAGATTTGTTTACGACCAGGTGTGACGTGACGGAGGGAATCCCCCTTGCAAGAAGGGCGCCAGAAAAAGCACGCGTAACGTGATGTCATTGTCGTGACGCAAGAGATTTACCTTTACCTATTGTATGGCAGTACGGTCACGTCACATCTGCCTCCCTCCTTCCACCACCGCCACCCTTCCTCACCCAACTTCTTCTTTGCCTCCTCCTCCTCCTCATCCTCCTTCAGATGATGTCACACGCTCAACAATGACGTAATAAATACAGGGCCTACTGCCAAGATTTTTGGTGGGAAAATACGCCTCGATCAGCTGTTTCTACTCAGCCGCTCTCCATGCAATTACCCACAAGAGTGTTTCTTCTCTGAAACTAGAGGCAAATGAAAACATTACACTTTCTTACCCATTGACATTATATAATATTTAAATCAAAAAAAACAAGAATTAGTTAATTTTAATATGTAATTGCATTCGCAATTAATCTCATCAAGAGAAATCATCTTGACACCGAAATTTCTTGTTGCAGGATATTTACAAAAAAAAATGCAATTAAAATGTACAACGCTTGGGTAAGAAATATAATTAATAATAATAATGATGATGAAGATGAAGAAGAAAAAAAAGTATATATATGAGAGAGACGAAGGAGAGAAAAAAATGTAACATCGAAAACAGTTTCCCAAACTGTGTTTTCCGTCGGAACATGCCAACTCATCGCCCGCCCTTTAATCTCGAAGAACGTCAAAGTCATCGGAAGAGAGACCCAGACTTGAAGAAGACGACGACGCAAAGAAAGAGGAGAGAAGAGCGGAGACCGAGCGTGCACCAACGCACAACATCTCAATCCAAACGAAATTATACGTATATATAGATATACAACATTAAACAATTATTGCATTCAGCTTTTGTGTACATCAAGATGTTTTAATAAGCAAAGATTCATTAGTTATATATAAAAGGTATACACTACATGTATTTTATATAAAGATTCTAGTATATGTCCAATTCCCATAAGAATCCTGAGCATGGATATTAACCTTGGTTTGTTCGCAAATTAACTAGAAACTTTGATGAATGACAGAATGACAGGTCAAAAAATAGAGTCATAAAAATCAGTCTCTATTAAGAAAAACAGCAGCTCCCAGAAGAAAGACGAACAATTATATTAATCTAGAATGGAAGGAGAATAAAAGGAGCACAAAGATAAGGTTGTAGCTGTTTTGGTTTGTCCGCAAATTAACTACAAACTTTATGTAATTACATATCCATATGTGTTCGATGACATGAGTTGACTTTACGTTCTTGTGTTTGCATGTGCGGACTGTGTGAAATATATCGATATAGATGATCTGCATGGAATACGATCGCGTTTGATTCTATTTTGTTTGTAGGCCCGATAAATCAAAGACGTCTGACGTCAGCTGCCAATTAAGATTGGTTTAGTGCACTTGACTGAGAGTTAGTCGAGTCGATCAAGAAGTGAAGTAAGTAAGTGAGTAAGTGGGTGTGCTTCGACACGTTAAACAGAAGCAAGCAATCCAAATATCAAGCGAAGGTCACATTTGCGATTCGGCAAATCACGAACATGTCTTCCTTCTTCTAATGCGATTCAATCATCGTCGTCGTGGCATAAATAAGAGTGGCGCCTGCTCTTGCCGGAATCCTCTTCTACATGGAGGATTCTCTCTTTTGCTCGTAGGTTGAAGCCGTGGCCGGTCGGCCGAGGATGGAAGGTGAGTCGACAACAATCTTTTCCAATCTACTCACATTTAATTATGTGTACACGGCCTCCGACACAGTTTTAATTATCTCGCTCTTCTACTCCTCTTCATCCTCATCCACCTTCGCTCAATCTATTATTCTTCTCAATCTATTTATCTTCTCTCTCTCTTTCTTCATCGCTCTGCTGGAATAAATAAATTGGCGATCGTTATCGTCGAACAATCCAGAAATTACACCGAAAACCATTCAATCGCCGATTAATTATCCTTGTCCCAACAACAATTACACCAATTAATCCCCATTGAGATTGTTCAGAAATAACAACAACAACAACAATCACCACCACCAACCTACCAACAACCATCTGCATCGAATTTTTTCCCACGAATTTTCAAGAGGGGAAATACGCAATTGCAAACTTCTTCCTTCCTTCCTTCCTTCTTTCCTCCTTCATTTGCTTGTTACCCCAAAGGCGCTCGAGCACTCTCACTTGGGGTGCTTTATACTCCATCATTCGGTAAGTCCGAAAGCATTTGCAATCCAAAAGAGGGACTCTTTGTTTACTCTGCAAACCTTCTGAGCACAAAGACCAAGTTAATTACCATATGTACCCCCTTCGATTTCGAACTACCGCTTCATACATATATATATATATTATTTTTTTTGCTTCATTATTATTATATCACGTTCACGTCTCGCCACTTCCACATAAAGACTTCCTATGAATGTAGTAAGTAAATAAAAAATGCAGGGTTTCGCTCTTTCCTATTTGCTTTAAATAAACGAACAGATTATTAATAACATCTTTCTCTCTGTCTCTTTCACCATAGATAGCATAAAATTAGGAGTGCTCGACAAATCTTCGATCTAAATTAATAATTCATATATTGAATGTGTATGTGTGTGTGTGTGTTGTGCATAAGAGAAATAAATGCGAGTCTCTAACGGCCCCAATTAATAATCAATCGAGCCGTTCTCATCGCGTCGCATCAAATGTAAATTGGATCCCCATATAAATTATATGATGATCATGATGATTCCGCTTACTTTTGCAATATTCTGTGGGTGTTGACGCAATTTGTTTTTGACTCGTGCTCCCATCATATCGTGTGATGTTTATTTATTTATTTATTTAATTGGTCAATTTCTGATCTGCATCTTACGTTTCGTATTATTTGATTTAAATTAGTAATAGAATCAATTTTTTCTCTCCCTCCGATTGTTGTTGCAGTAGGTTAATTAGTATTAGATAAAATTCTGTATGAATTGAAACAAGACCTGTGAATTGATTACGAGGAGAGCAGAAGCATTGGAGTATGCGTGAAGAGGATTCGAAACTGCTTGACGAATGGAATAGATGGATGGATGGACCATATATTCGCGGCGTGGGATTTGATCGTTTTATAAAAGAGAGTCATACCATGGTAGATTATACTAGCAGAAGAGGAGAACGAGAGACGACAACAACAACAGACACGAGCTGCGCTCCTCCAACCGCGGAAAACGAAACTCCGACCGTCTACACACCAGGAGACCATGAGTTCGAGGACCGACCGACCGATCCATCCTCGTGCGCCACGCTTCATCCACCTGTTGCTGCTCCGTGCAGCTTCTCCGCCTCCGCAACCTGTACACGTGAGAGCGCGAGCTGTGTCTTCTTCATCGAAGCATCGACTTCTTTACCGGGCATCAGCAGCAACAGCAGCAGTCAGCAACCAACACAAGAGAAAAAGAGAAGAGGAACAACGACCGACCGGTTCGATTGCTCTGCGGGTCAACAGAATCACGAGTGGCTCCAGTTGTTGCGTTCGCTGCGTGGCCGCCCGCGGCTCCCACAATCTCAAACGCGATATTTACACTTCAATCTCATTTACACTTCTAATTAGGATCAATAAAATCACTCTCTCTCTACTTCCCATTCCCTCTTGCTGCCTCTTCTACCAAGAAAACTCAACGAAACACTCAAACGCATACGATTTCTGCAAAGTAAAGTAAAACTGAAATGCATTCCACGTTCGAAAGACGCAAATGAATTAACAAACGAATCGTTCAATTAGGAAGATTAAAACAATCCAATTAGCTACTGAATTGTTGTTGCAGTTTCCTAATTACTTATGATTACAGTGTACACTTATATAAAATACGTTACAATTTTCGATAATGGTCAAATTGTCCACTCGATCATGTGCTTTTGGATCTTTAACATCCTTTTTCCTTGTTGTTTGGTGTTGTAAAGTGAAAATGGGATTTCGTGTCGACATTGAGAAATTTTATCGATCCTGACGGCGGGTGGTTCTACAGCATAAATGGTGTAAACATTTGTACAAATTTGGAGGCGTGTATTCGCAAACAACTAGGGTGCTAAACGGCGTCCCATTGACCGGCGGTCAGTGCAACACAATGATGAAAGAACCTTACGACGTTGCTGCCGCTGCTGCTTCTTGCTTTTAGAGCGCATCTTCGAAGATCTCTTCGACTTTGGTCAGCTGTCTCAACTTCTGAACTCCCCCATCTCCACCGCCAACGCCACCTTTGCTCTTTTCCACATCGCAGGGTTCGGAAGGGATCTCTCTTCGTCTCCTTCTTTTCACCCCCATTGTGACCTTTTCTAAAGAGACGTCTTATCCCGAAGAATAAAGGACGAAGGCACGCGCGCTCTCCTCACACACACACATACACACACAAGAATCAGGAACATATGTCTCCGATTCCTTTTGTGTTCGAAACGCAACGAATGTTATTTACGTTTATCCAATTTGCTCTCTCTGCCCATTGAAATCGCACAAAGAATTAAACGCCGAAGGAACGAACGAACGCACGAAAGAAGAAACAAGCAATAAAAAAATACACACACACACACGACGAAGTGAAATGAAATTAAATGAAACTGGTCCCCCCGATTAAAATTTTTATGGCTGAAATCTCGCGATCCTAATTGATAATAAACTCCGGCGAAAACATTGTTATGATCGCGAATGGCAACTTCAATTACCAGTTTTCTTCTCTCTTGAGTGCGTTTTTTTTTTCTTTACTTCTTTTCATACTTCTTTAATTAATCACGTCCGTAATTACGGTAAAAGCCATTACCTTTGCGCGCATACTGAAAAGAATCATATTCAAGGGAAATAAGAATAAATAAATAAAGACCGAGAATAGACGCAATAATTATTATTATAATATATAAATTGAGCAATTTTACGCATCGTAAAAATTATGCCGTAAAAAGATCAAGAAGAAGAAGAAGAAGATGGTGGTGGTGGTGGATGAGGAAGCTTTTCTCTTCTCTTTTCATTCGCTGTTTTTTATTCGGCGAATCTCCGGTACTACAGCTGGCCAATTTATTTTTATACATGTAAGAAGCATTTTTTTCCTTCCTTCTTTCTTTCTTGTTCTTCATTTTGTAAACATAACGTTAATAAACTTAACGTGGGTTTAATAATGACGTCTCATTATTGTCGGCAATTACCTAATTTCGATTCAAGTCGAAAATTTAAAAAAAAGAAAAACTTTTCGACATAAATCAATTTTAATTAAAAAAAGAAATAATAATAAACCATTATTAACTTTAATGAAGAATTCGGTTATTTTGCAAATTGAATATTTTGAATACATGCAAAGCGCTTGAAACATTCATTTATGAAATAACACTAATCGTGTTGTCGAGAAGACAACAATTTATTGATCTACATAAAATACCATTAATTAAATTGATTAGTTTAAATTAGATTCTTTTTGAATCAACAACATTAATTAAGTTAAAGTAGGTTTACTAATGTTGCCTCATTATTAACTAATTTTCTTAAAGCCAAACTTTTCCTCTACAAGTCTTATACACAATTGTATAAATAGATAAATTCAGGTGCGAATCAAATCATTGTCATTTCGAGGAGAAACAAAACAAAAAAGTACGAAGAGATGAGAAGGACGAACGAGTGTGGAATTTACGATATTGGGGAGCCGGCGAAGTCCCCAATTTTTATGCACTTAATAAACCCTACTTGTTATTATTGTTATGAATGTTCTTCGGCGGAGAGGCAATAAATTGTATGGTCCGAACGGTCGAAGAGGTACAGTCCACACGCCACCGCACCACCAATTCTTTCTTTCTTCATCTTTACCAAAAGACAAACGAAGAATCTCCGCGCATCGCATAACTCTTTCTCTCTGTTTCTTTTTGCTTACGATGGCTGCAAGGAAGGAAAGAAGGACGAACACAAATCCTCCACTTTATGACGCAATTTTTTTATGCCCGAATAAAACGTAATTGATTTAAGAGAAGAAGAAACGTAAACGAAGCATAAAAATCGCCCGATCAATTAAATATAATTTACTCTGTTGTTGTTTTATAGCTTTCTGATAACTATTACTTTCTTAAGGAGCAACTTATTAATCGTCGCTCAATCTTGATGGCGTGGTTCGTTGCAGTAAGCCAAGTGATATTAGCTAAGTACTAACTAATATCTTTGGGACGCAACAGGTTACGTAATGAAGCACGAACGGGCGAATTTGTCATGGATCGGAGGTATCTGTTTAACAGATCGTTTTGCTCTAGATTAGGAGAGCCATTATTACAGCAATTTATTTATTATAAGATACATATAATACTTCGGATATGTATGTTTTTTTTTTTTTGTATCTCCGGTCCAATTTCAATTTTTAATCGATTTTATCTAAGAAAAATTTCATAAAAGAAATTCCTTAATGGCATTTCGGTTATGAAAGTCCGCGCGCGCGATTGGGATCTCGGAAACTGGACTACTACTACTAGTACTACCGGACGCAACAGATTTATCGAAGTCGATGATCTTCGAGAGAGAAAGAGAGAAAAATATCTGGATGATCTTTAACTATGATTTCCCGCGCGATCTAAAAATTCGTTGAGGATGTGGAAGGTGATGGAAAGGTGCACAAGAGGACGAAAGAATGGGGCACGTGGATCCGAGGAGGGCGAGCGAAATCTTATTATGAAACCATTGTGCCGCAATCTCTCCACCCATATAAAAAGAAGAGAGGAAGAAGGAAGAAAAAAAAAACGTTACATAACCAAATTTCGATTCTTCCACCCTCCGCCGAGAAGACGAAAAAAATAAATATCATAATACAGATATATATATATAAAAAAAAAAATAAATATCATAATACAGATATATATATATATATAAAAAAAAAAGGAAACGTGAAAGAAACGAGCGTACAAAAGACGCACGTTTCTTGGCGCCGTTAAATCGCTGCAGTTGGCCGCGAGCAGATAGCAATTGTTTTGAGGATCACGTAATCAGGCTGCTACCTCGTTCGATGCAATTCGAATCTATTTATCCCATTTTGTTTTTCCTTTGCCTTCGGCGACCGTTCGATTTCAATATTCGATATTTGCGCCTCGTCATCGAGGGTGGCGCTAATTACGAAACAATACAATACGATTTCTTCTGATCTCTGTCCCGCTCTGTTATCCGTCAGATCGATACCGTTAGCAGCAAACCAAATCCGCATCGTTTCTCCTTCCTTCCTTCCTTCACGTCGATCTTAATTCCATCCAGAAGATCCATCCGACAACAATCGCAGGACAACAACCTCTCTCTTTCACTCTTTCTATCTTCCTCTAGTTGTATAGGTGGATTGTCTCTTCTCGCATCAATCCATCCGTATTCACTTTCGTCTTCTTCGCCGAGCCGAGGGGTGACTTACTACAACACCACTACCAGCTGATCTCACGTGCTCACTCTCGCAAACGCACACACAAAACCCCCAAGACGACAGCTGATCCTTCCACATATAAAGACTACCGTCTCTCTCTCTCTCTCTCCTTCTTCGTTTCTCTTCTCTACATCAATAATAATAATACCCTCTTAGTTTCGATTAAGCGAAAGTTATTTGGATCACAATACGTTCGTAATCCGGTACCAATTTGAAATGCTTTTCGGACGCGATCCACAACAGCCGCAAATTTAAAACTATTGCAAAGCATTGCGTAGATTTTCTTTTCACAATTTTTTTAATTAACTCCATGATTAATTTCGAAATGCCATTTATGATTTTTTTGAGTCTTACAATTATTTAAATTTATTTAATAAGAAAAAAAAACAATGCTTGAAATATGATGCATATCTTAGAAAATTGTAATTTACATGAATTACTTAAGAATTATTTGAAATGAGCAAATTACGATAATCGGTTATGAAAAGAGAGATATTTCAGTTATTTATAAATCTATAATATTATGTAGTAAGTGTCATCATCAAATATATCGAAGTTGGACAATAAACATACAATCTTGTAATACAATTTACAGAATGAGGTTTTCGCGTATAGTGTTGTAGTAGTAGTAGTAGTAATAGTAGTTGAGGAGAGATATGATCTGCGACTATGAATATATTTTTAATTTAATGTTTCAATCGCGATGATTTAAACGGCAGAATATTAAATGAGAATTATTGCGAGCTCTAAAAGAAATTTATGACTCAATCAAACGACGCGATACGAATCTTCTCCTACGTTTGTTTGCCTCTCTCATCCATAACTTTACACACACACTTATGCACTCTTCTCTAAAACCGGAGGAAATTATAATTAGTCGAAACAAAACGTATTCATTACAAAAAAAAAGAAGGTAAATAATAAAATGATGAAATTTATAATGATCGTTTCCTGTTCGTCATATTTCAAATTCCTCGTAAATATTTCATACATTTTTGTTGTTGTTGCTCGATTTATTTCTTTTCTGTAATGTAAGAAACGAATCTTAAAACTGATTGATCGCATCAGTTTGTAACATTGGGACATTTATTATGCACGTATTCGAATTTGAGCTACGAGAAATACGACACTTATCGCCGGATAATTCTCTCCGCACTCTACGAACCGGGCATTAATTATCGGCTATTAAATAACGCGACAAAACAAACGTCAAAGAGAAGAGGAAGAGAAAAAGACGTGGGATGTTCAACTTAGCTGTGAATGGAATACGCAGTCAATGAATCGATTACTTAAATACATTTTAAAAGATTTAATAACATCTCAAGACTCAATCTACTACATGACTTATATTTTCGTAATAGTTGCTTTCTCAATCGCTTTGCTAATTCTAATTACAGAATTATTAATATCTATATATAATTATATATTAATTTCACAATTTAACGAATCTCTCGGACCATTAAACTCAAAATTTGTAATCCCATGGACCATGATGTTTTTCGCTATAGTTGCGAGTATAAATATGGAATCATACATACACTTCTTTTTACATTGGATCTTTTATAAACATGCTACTTAAGAAACAAATGCAACAAAAAAAGTAGAATCGTAGAATCAGAATCCAATAAAAACAAATATTGCAAATACATTCAAATTACTCTTCCGTCCACCGAATGTAAAAACTAGTTCGTTTCTCGTACGGCCGTTAAATATTTACCAATTGTTATTGAATGTTAATTAAGAATGGAAACAATTAGAGGTGTGTGATTGGTTCTATTTAAATTCATTAAGGTCGCATTGTTCACGGTGATTGATTAAGATATTGGCGCGACTTTTAATTAAAATCCGAAACGAAATCACTACCGTCGCTGCTTCTGGTAACAGTAACCACCACCACCAGCAACAGAATAAATATATATACATTCACACACACACAAGTAGACATAATAACTACACCCAGCAGCGCATTTCGACACTGATTGTGCTCTAAATACCAGCAATTCTTCAAAGGAAAAATATAGAAGAGAGAAGGAAAGAAAAAAAAATAAGCGGACACACAGTAACACCGGACAACACACGGACCGCAACGCTCACGTAGAGAGACACAAAAGTCGTACACAACAATTTGAGGCAACAACGACGGACGAACCACTTTAATGTTAATGATCATTAGCGTTTATGAAATTCGGCTTTTAATTATGCAACAATATCTTAAAGAAACGCTAATTAAACGCCTATATGAGTCTTATTCAGCAGTCTTATTCAAGACATAAAATATATATAAATGTGAGTTATGAATTTTAATAATTTAGTTTATAAAATTGAAATTTTAATATTTCTTAATATATTTATCGGTTTTCTACTTATTTGTTTTAATTTTCAATGAATTCATAACGATAATATTTTGATTATTAATTATTTTTCTAAAGACTAATACGATGTTTGATTCTATTTCAAATTTGCAATTATTTGTGTGCTCCCAACTAAATTGACTCTAATTGGAAATCAATGTTTGTTAGTTATGTTTATTTCAAGTCTACAAATATTCAATTAATTGTAAAAATAAATAACAATTGTTTCATTGTTCAATTGTTTACCTTTACTATATAACTAAAATAAAAACTTTTAAAGTTTATAGAAAAATGAAATTTGTGTAATATTAGTATTTTCATTATGTGATGTATATATTTTTGTTAATTCTTATGTTGTTAATGTTTATTGCAGGGTTGGTTTTTGGTGGGCGAGAATGTGAGAGAGATTGCGAAGGATGAGGACGAGGAAGGACTTTGATGAAGAGAAGAAGGAAGAACGTTACGTGTCCGTCCATCGATGCTCTGTGGTGGTGTTGCGTGTGTGTGTGTGTTATGTGAAGAGTGCGAGTGCGAGCGAGTGAGTGAGTGTGCGTTTAGGTATTGGTGGGGGGCAATTGTGGTGGTGTGAGAGAGTCGAGTTTGGGAGTTCGGGTGGTGTGTCCTGACTGTGGAGGCAGAACTCCTCCTGTGGCAGAGCGAATCACCGCCACTCTGGCCCACCTCCACCTCCACCTCAACATCACAATCCGTAGCGCAGTCGGTTTAGTCACAATCGGGCGATCGTTCGCTCGACACGTGTTTGCCCAAACAACAAAAAGAAACTCCACTCCACACTCACTACCTTCTACTACTACTACTACTATTCACTCACTCACTCACCACCACCACCAATATACCTTTAGTACGATTATCATCGCTGCTGTCGCAACAACTATTACCACTATCATCTTCTACTCTGCACATCCAACACCATCAGAGTATCCTAGTGAAGAAGTGTTAAGCGCGTTGATCCGTCGCCCAACAACAATAACAGCAACAGTAGCAACAACAATAACAAATCAAAATTTGAAAATAAAATAGTGCTCGTTTACGAAAAGAGACTTTCAGTGATAAACCAACAAGAGCAGCAGTAGCAGTTTCTACGTAAAAATAAATTGCAGAGGTACAACGACCAAGTGCAGTTCGGAATAATACACATATGCGTACAGTGCGTGAAAGCAAAAGAAATAAATAATAAGCAGATAAAAAGTGTTCACTCGAGGAAAGTGGTGTTACAAATTTTTTTTTGTCATTCTCCCATTTGAATCCATCACATATACAAGAAACGACGACGAAGACGACAACGGGAACGACGAACGCATCGGAACAAACGAAGAAGGTAAGGTGTCACCGCTGCTATAGATGATGCATTGCATGTTCGATAGATTAGATTAGAGATGTGCGTCGAGTTGAGGGCACACACAATGCACATTATACCATTACACACACCAACATTTATCGCGAAGTGCCTTTGGCAAAATGGAGTCAACGCCACGATGCGGTTTATAAGTTTCGCGGGCACATGTCTTATTCATTCTTATTCACCTACTAATACTACTCAACAACAACAACAACAACAACCTCTGCAACACTTTAACACGAAGACTGCTTCTTCTCCTACTTCGAATACCTAAAAAGACAAAAAGTAAGTTAATTTGATCAATATCAGCATAGTAAAAACAATCGAATTGGAATCAATTGCAAAACTCATTCATTCATATACATATGTATGTTATATATATGGTGAGCAAAAGAAACGAATACCACATTTTAATTACATCTACTAGCTTTATCGTCAAACACATTTGCTTAAAATTATTGTATCATCACATCAACTAAATTAACTAAATGTTATTGAGTTACTTAAATTTAATAAGCGAGCGACGTTATCGAACGCACGCAATTTTATCGTACAACATGCGAACCACCACCACCACATTACAATTAAAACAAGCGAAATTATTAATATTTACATCCGTAAACAATATAATTCCATTTCAATGCGAATGTTTGCATTCTTATATTAGATTAAGAAAATGCGTGTGTTTTCTGATAATCGTATTTGAGAGAGAGGCAGAAACCTTACACAAATACAATCAATGTATCAATTACTATTTTGGCTAAATCAAATTATTCTTTTATTTTGGTAATATAGTAATGTAAATCCAATTAGAATGTCTTGAAAATTTATATATAAAAATGTCTAGTAGACAGATCTACTAGAAAGAACAACCCGAGAAACTAATGAACCGAACCTATTAGATTTATTAAGGTTATTGCTTCACCCACGCACCTTTAATTGGTTTAATTTGAATTGCGAACCGAACGAATGCTTGATATTTAATCCTTCGCTTTAAATCACCATTATACCGTATCCATTTAGATTGTATAATTAAATTAGCTTAAACCTAATTTATACTTAATTGCACGTCCTTAAGATATGCAAAAACCGAACGCGAATGCGCTTCTAATTGGCAGGAATGGATATTATTAAAGTTTAAATAAAACCTGAATTACATTCGTAATATAATTTGCACCCGTTCAAATTGAAAGAAGAAGTAAAAAATATTAACAAATGTAAATAAATAAATAATCAATAACATTATATAAAAACCAATTAGTTTCAATGAATCTTACTTAGCATTTACAGTTGGTTTAAGTTGGCTAATCGTAATGCCTTCTACTGTTGACGATTATTGATGCGCGCAGTTAATAAACAATAAAATAATACAGAAAAGAATGGATAAATACTTGTGAGGAGGAAAGAACGGCGCAGACAATTTAAAATTAGAAAGAGTATCTAATGCGGCTGAGACTCGGTCTTAATTTAACTGATAAACATCGGAGATTCTCTAAACCGTAAAGTAAATGATGATGATGATGATTAAATTAAATCTTTGTCAATGATTAAGTATAAGGTAGAAGCGTAAAAATGAATCTCGCCGTTGTGTAATTATTCGTGAATGTTTGGTAGATAAAAAGATAATTATGTTGAATTTATGAATAATAAGGTACGAATTATGGGAGGCGAGGGCTTTAACATTCATAAATAATTAGATTAGTATTGGCTTATTAATTTGTTGCTAAATGTAAATTATATATTTTTTTTTTTTGGATAAAATTAATGTTTTAACACGTTTGCGAAGAATTTCATGTTCATTTTGTGTGTGTTTTCCTTTTTTACATTTACTTCTTCTATTTTCTCAATTAACGATTTGCTGCGCCGCGATCGGAATCGGCCGACGGGACAACACACAATCACAATAGTTTCGCTATATTCTTGTGATCGATCGATTACCGAGCGGCTCTTTTAATCCACTTAACCCCTTCGTGCGTGAACTCGTGATCACGAGAAGAAGAGGAGTACCTTATAATTAAAGAAAACAAAAAGTAGCAGCCGCAGCGGCTTTTGCTATCTATCTTTAATACGTGTCGTTCTCACTTGCTTCTTTATAATTCAATTGACTAGAGTCTTGTAGTAATTCAATTGCATTTAGTTAATTGATGAGAGAGAGGGGTTTGAGTCTGTCGGAAAAGGTGGCGAATCGTCTGCAACAATTGTTGCGCGTCGCAAAGGATGCGAAGAGATCGGAGTGGAGAAATGAATGAAAAGGCCATTAAAAACAGACAGCGGCGGCGGCGGCGACTACGACGACGACGGCGGAGACTCGGTAATAGCATGTATCGGGTGTCCATCAGTGACAGCAATTAAAGTCCCGCTAAACTTTCACACGTTATTACTATTTTGCGGTACTTCGAAGGGGGTCCTGACACAAACACAAAACACACACATACACTCATTCTTGTACATTAATTGCACCTACGAGAAGGAGTATGATGAAGAGTATAATAATAATTATAATAGTTTTGATGATTATCGTTTGAGCGTTGTTATATAAAAATCTTCATCTAATTGAATGTAATAAAAGAAAACTTTTTCGCCGCGGAAGAGAGTGGACGGACACCGAGAGGGCGAAAGAGTGAGAGAGAGAAGAAAATTTATGGTCCGATAAATGCTTAATGCACGTCCCACGCGAAATTATCATTTGCATAACACATTCGTGTTTTATCGCGCGCAAAATACACGCACAAAACGGTCGCGGTGCAAGCATGCAGAGAGAGAGAAATGCTAAAAAGCAAACATCGAACATATCATCACCACATCGGATGCTGCTGCTGCTGCTCTCTTGCTATAAATAAATGTAATAACAAAACATAATTATCATAAGAAATCGACGGATTTATCTGAAAGAGACGGACAGACAGTAGTATTTGTAACATTGAAAAGTGGAACGAGTGAAAATTTTGAAAAACGAAACGTCCAGATGATAAATTATACAATCTAGTTTCGAAAAAAAAAAGGAAAAAGCCGCGTAAAATATATACTGACATTTAAAATTAATATAAATATATATATAAAATACTTTCGTTCTTGGAACTTTGGACGTTTTCACGAAAGCGTAATGTATTGTGTGGTAATTTTCTAAATATCTAAACGCGACTTGCAATGTCGTTTATTACTTTGTGTTTGTTTCTTATATATTATTTCTTTGAAACTATTTAAAAAGTCTTTCATCACATATAAACTAAACGCACTATAAATTAAGTAATTAATGATTAACTTCAGGCTTCATTTCTTTTTTTTTTAAATTTTAAGTCAACCATTAAAGAGAGTAGAATTTAATTTAAATTGATTGTGATTTAGATATGATCATTATTATCGTATGGATTTTTATTTGATATTTGGCAATCGAAGTATTTCGGACCACCCGCGGTTTGGAATGCAATAATAACGAGATTGTCGGATACATTTGGAAATAAGCGATTCTGACCTAAAGGATGAGATGAGGCGAAGACGTACGCACACAGAGGGAGAGAGAGAGACAGCGATAAAAAATGTCTTTCTTCGATGATCATCAGGTGCATTCGCTAGTGGTAATAATAATGCTAATGTAACGTTTAGACCAGGTGTTTGTTAGATGAAGGAGTGGCCAATTAGACCAGTTCAAAGACAGATAGATAGAAGTATAGATATATGAGTGGAGATAGATAGAGAGAGAGAGAAAGAATGGAATAAGCGGTCCGTTCGTGGGAGGAATTTATTTCAAATGTTTTAATGGGGGAGAAGAGCTATTATCGAATCAATTGGGTTTGGATTGGATCGTAAGAGTGCCGGTTGTTCAATTAGTTTCGCGGCTGCACGGCGGATGGATTCTCGAGATCTTAAACTATACACATTTATTTAAGTCTATGTGAAAACGTTCAAAGAGATACATAGGGAGCGAGAGTGATGAGAAAGGGCAAATAATATGTATATATAGTTTTGTACTATTTTGCCTCTTAATGAGGGTCGGTTTTCGGTCGGGGCGCGGGTGTTCGGCGCGGTCACTTCTACTTCTTGTTGTTCTTCTTCTGTTTTCGGTATTTATTTGGTGGTCATTTGTGTGGGAGAGATCAGGCCGCATAACTTAGCAATTGACAGGACGATAAATTCGTCGGCGAAACGGGCCCAGGTCATTCTCTCTTTTTCTCTCTCTATCTCCGAGTCCATCCTTCGCGCACCGCTCGCAGCTAAATCAACAGCAACTACCAACAACCGCTGCAGGAGTAGTAGTAGCAGCAGCAGCAGCAGCAGGTTGAACGTGTGGTGTCTCCGAAAATGAGCCGCCAGAAGACAGCAGACGCCTACAAAAACGAGTCGCGTTGCAGCAGCAGCAGCATTACGTTTTACCGCGAAGAAGAACTGAAGATCGAAGAGCGAAGAAAGCGGGGAGGACGAAGAGTAGAAAACAAAACAGCAGAAGCAACAACAACGAAAAAACGAAGGAGAAGAAGAAGACTATGATGATGACGACGGCGACGTCGACGACAAAATAAAGTAAAACGAAAAAACAGGTAGAATGCGAGTTGTTGAGATGTCGGGTGCGCGCACGCTGAGGCAAAGAGAGCGAAGGAGTCGAAGGAGCGAGCGGTGATCTCGTCGAGGTCCTCCGCAGCATCCGAGATATGTTGCTTCTTGCTGAGCGAACGGTGGATGAGATGAGAAGAGAAGAGACAAAATTACGATGCGTTAGGAAATATATTTATATGGATGTGATATAGTGGCTTCTGTTCGGGAACTATAATTTATCGATTTGCTCATCCTTCTTCTCTCTTTACCTGCGAGATCCGCTCCACTCCATTTCGTGTTCTCCTCTCACCTAATTTATTGGGGTAGTCCCTGACAAATTCCTCTCTTTTTCTATCTCTCTCTCACTCTCTTCACTCTTCGCTCTTTTCTCCAACTCAACACACGCACACTTGTGTATATATATACATACATACACACCACGCAACTCC